CAAGAGTCGGTTACACAGCATAGGCATTTATTGGATTTACAGACTCCACCATGATTTTCACTGAATATTTCGGTTCCTGTATTAGTTCCAGCATTTAGGCAGCAAACCCTGGAACAGGCTCAGACTCAACTATTACCAGAGCATTTTAGTATTGCCCGCCATCACTTGAAACAATTTTTAAAAGATCCCACGGCGATATTTAAACCAAATCAGCAAAGTCTCGGAGCAACCTTGATGCTGCAGGGTATGACCAAGCCGGCTCGTTGCATCACAGCCTATAGTTTTTTTTTTAAAAGTAAATCATGCATTACACGGCTATCGGATGTATGCAAAGATCAAAGTGAGAAACGCGGACTGCACGAACTCCAAAAGGTTGACAGTTTTTTATGCTCCAGAGAGCGGTACCATCTCCAAGCTTTACAAATGTTGATGGATGGAAGAGGACCACCTTGTACGATTGATCAAACCAATTTATTTTGTGATATTTATAATGAACGCGGCAACGATATTGCATCCATCGTCATTATTAGAACCGCCATCTAATCAACTTCTTCCTGGTGTGCAATCTGTTAAAGCTAGATCATATCAACGTAGTGATGCATTTATTTACAACTTTTTAAACCAGTTTCTGTTCCATGATACTGCTCAATATTGTCGAGTGTGCTGGATTAGAAACAAGACATCTACGACTATACATCGATCTTCACAATGTCCGCTGCGAAACAAAATCTTGTGACAGATGTCTCGGTCGTCACCAAGCTACAACTGCCCAAATCAGCTAAAAATTTCCTTTCCAAGCTTGCTTTTATATGTGGATTACCACTGGTGATACTGATCAAAGAAAAGGCCTTCGCAGTGACAGCAAAGCGGTCCCTGCTTATACCAGTAAACCTAGAAACACGATGATCCCAGGTGTTTGGTATTTCTTTCGTTACATTAAACGCAGCCCATTTCGTAAAACTGCAGTCGAAGCTCAATTGGTTTCAATGAGTCACTTTGAATTTTCAAACGTGGCTTGTCCGGACAGCGCCAAGTAGATTCATGTCACAACTCCGCGGGTTTTGGGTACATATTTTGCTTGAATAACACGAGTGTAGCACCTTGGATTTGCTTGAATACACATTGTTGAGCCTTTAGCGATCCTTTTCGAAGACTTATGAAATATAAAAAAAAGCCTCTTCTACTGTTGATGATAATTTCAAACACGGACAATTGGTACGATACCACAAAGAAATGTGTCGACAGTCCGTTGCATCTCATGCAAAATATCAAACGCATGCCTTATTAAACAAGCTCCGCTAACTTTCTCGTGGTGTATGATTGGTCGTAAACAAACATAATTCTGAATAACATCAAGTTGGGATAGGCCTCCGAGCAAAGAAAAACGTTGCATTCATTTTCCCTTATGGAATTGCCCGAGAAAGGAAGCCAAGTCGTGCTGCTGGCTCGATGAAGGTTTCACGAGATTTAAAAGAGTGCTGCGAAGTGCGCAGAGGATGTATCACCTTTGATAGACGGATGGTGAACTACCCCACTTGCAATAGCAC